GAGATGCTTGCACCCCGACCGGGACCCCCGCCGCTCTTCTCTGGGGTCGCAGGGCTCCCCCTCGCCAGGTTACAAGGAGGTGTTTTCCTAGCGGGCTGGAGGGGACATTTTCTAGAAGGCCCTGGGGAGGGAGTCCAAGGCTTCCTGCGCTATGGCCTCTCGAGCCAGAGCTGTCTTTTCTTTCTGCCCCTGTGACAACTCCAGGGGCAACTCGGGACCCAGGGCAGTATCTCCTTTGGAGATATTTGAAGGGAGGAGAAGAGTGACCAAAGACATGTCGTCCTGCTTTTCCAAACCCGACAAGGACCCATGTGGGGTCCCGGAGCCCTCTCAGCCCCGCCCCCAGTTTTCATTACTTCTCCCCGCAAATCTGCCTCTGCTCCTGTTCTCTGGGCTCGCCTCTTCTGCGCCCTCTAGGAGCGGCGTTGGCTCTTCGAGAACCATAGGCGCTAAAATGGGACTGAGCTCAGACAAAATGGGAAGTAAACCCTTCTTTGCATCGCCACTGCTCTGTGCTTTGGTTATCTGTTTGCTAAAGCTTTTACTCATTAAAGCTTTATTGCATTACAGCAATCTGGATCTGAATCCCTCTCCAGGCATTTAGCTGGTTTGTCCTCCACAGGACCTAGTCCAGGGCTCCGCATATGAAAAGTGACGCATCTTTTCTGGATGGAAAAGTAATCCATTTCCAAATATTCCTTGAGCACCTACTGTGCTCCTTGAGCTCAGGATCCATCACCTTACTTTGTCCCTGGTCTAAAGGGAACACGGTATTTATTTCGGTTTGTTTTTCTATCCATAATGACTTTTTACACCTCTTGAAAATGTAATTGGAATTCTGTAATTGACTAATTTAGGATACACGGGTTGTTTGTCTCATGGGTTTGTGTATGTGTGTGTGTGTTTACTACTTTCCATATTTCCTTTGAAATAAATGTACTAGGGTAGATAATTTGTGGGGAAATGATCCGAGATCTTTCACCATCTGCAAAACCTAGTTGGGTGAAAACCCCAACTAGTACTTAAGACCTAAAAATGAAAAACATGCCCTCTTCTTTTAAATGGAACACCGCCCTCGAGGATTTCATACTCTTTGTTCATAACAATCCCTGCCCTTCTAGCCATATCTTCAGACAGGACTGACTACCTTTTGACCTAATCATATTTTGAGTGTAAAAAGCAATTGAGTCCGTGCCAAGAGACATGAGAATAAGAACCAACTCAATGGGAAAATAAAAGCCTGTGGTTTTCTTGTGGTAACTTTCTTTTACCTTTCAAGCATTATCTCAAGAATAATTGCAAGACCCTTTACAAATAGCTAGAACACTGTGCTCTCAACTAAACTTGCAACAAATTTCTCAGTCTGCCACTTGGAAGAAGCCTGAGTTCTCACTAAAAACAGTCCCTAATGGAACACTGAAATATTAAAAACCAGGGGAAATGATGGTGATCCTGCTTGTGATATTTTAATTTCCTAGAGTTTATATTTGTATGATGTACATACAAAATAATAAAACCATACCAACCCCCCTGCTGGCGACTCAATTCTGACTCATAGCAACCCTAGAGGACTGAGTAGAACTGTTTCTGAGGTTGTCAATCTTTATGGAAGCACAGGCCTTCAACGTTTTCCTCCTGGAGTGCTTAGTGGACTCTAACCACTACCTTTTTGTAAGTGACCCAACACTGAATCTACTGGCCCACCAGACCACTGTTCAAACTAATAGCTTGCCTGTATCTCTGTGGTAAAGAACATAATTTTACCCAAGGAAGGTGCATTTCCCTGGCTTCAGGGAAATTATGCTTGGAGTAGTTAGAGTGCCTTAATCTGAGATGTCCATTTCACACTTGAAGATTTGTCTTGGCATACGGAGAGCTAGCCAGACAAGCAAATATCTCCTGAGAGGCTGATATCAATTAGCCTCATTAGCATGATTTAGTCTATCAGGCTGTACAGGTGGATAAAAGTGCTGGATATCAAGGCTGGTAGAGCCTTCCTGGTTGATGAGAACAACCAGGGATGGTAGCAGACCCTTGTGAAATGGAAGTTCACAACCAACTACTTTGAGGAAAGTTCATAGCTGCAAGAAATTGCATGGGGGTGGGATGGAGTGGAGGGGTGGTAATCTGACCTCCCCTGGTATCCCTATAGCCACAGAGTAGTGGTCAAACATGCCTTCACATCCCATCCTTCTCTACTCTATTTTTAAAAATAATTTTATTGACATATGATTCTCATATCATATGCTTCAATAGTTCAATCATATGGAGCTGTGTAATCATTACCGCAATCAATTTTAGCACATTTTTCTTCTTATTTGTACTCCTTGTTGTTAGCTCATTTCACCACCACCCCCGCCCCCACCCCCAATCTTCCCTGTCATGCCCCTCAGTAATGATTAATCTAGTTACTGTCTCCATAGATTTACATATTTTGGATTATCTATACAGAAAAGCATACAAAACAAAGACAAATTGACAAAATCTCCAACAGCAATGACAAAATAAAGTAATAGAAAGCAAAGCAGAAAACATTAAAAACTGGTACAAATTTAAGATGGGTTAAATGGGATTAACTGGAGGGTTAATCCACATTAAGCACTGGAAATGGCTAGTGTCTGCCTGTTTGGTAGTTTGGAATTTGGTGTCCTGAGCTGTGGCCTATCTCCCAATGATTAGAGTCAGGGAGTGAGAGAGTCCCCTGGGTGGCGAGTGACTAGGTTGAGAAATGTGAGGATGGATTTTATGAGGTGGATCCATGCTGACCCTTACTGTGTACTCTCAAAATAATAAATAAATATTTTTCTTCAGGTTCTATAACCTTTCCTTTTTAAGTTTCTTTGGCAGTCAGTCAATGTTTTTTCTTTGCCTTTGTACTCTCTAGTTTAGACATTCCCCTTGTCCCTGCTAAGTTTACTTCATTTTTCTGGCTTAGCCTCAACTACTTAATTGATTTACTTGATCCTTCTGGTTTGTTGTTGTCGGATGCTGTCGAGTTGACTTCGACACATAGTAACCCTATATATAACAGCATTACACAGGGGCTGGTCCTGCGCCATCCTCACAGTAGCATGGATGTCACTTTGAGGACTAAGGTGCTCCTGAGTCAAAGGAAAATCCTTGCTCTTCAATCCTTTAAAGAGGTCTTATGCAGCAGATTTGCAAAGTGCAATACACTGATCTATTGACTGTTTTGTCCATGAACATTGATTGTAGATCCCAGCAAGATGAAATCCTTGATAACTTCAATCTTTTCTCCATTTATCATGAAGCCATCTGTTGGTCCAATTATGAGGATTTGGGTTTTCTTTGCACAATCTGTACTTAAAGTGGCATATAAGGGAAGGTAGACTTGCATTTACACTATAAATGGAAAAAATAGAGCAAGGTTTTCCAAAAGTTGGCAAACATTAAATGAAAAGCACACAAACGTACCTGTCTTGAAGTGAGGTGGGAGCTGGCAATTAATATACATACATATATATCTAGCTAAAAGAATGATTGATATAGATCCCCAAATGTAAAATTAAATAGGCCTTAATTTAACTGTGAATAAAATTAGAGTCTCTAGCTTAGGAGAATTAACTCAAGATCATGTAGAAGGATTTTGAGGCCCTGCACTATAACATCAAACAAAGGGCAGAGGCACCCTTCTTTCAGGTAAGCCTAACCTGGTGTGTCAACTTACTATGTCTCACCCTCCTGGATCTCAGGAAGAAAAAGGCTGTCATTGATAGCCTTAACTCTACCATGTGGTATAGCAGTTCTATGAAAATTGGAGTAGTCAATCCTCTATTTGAATCAGTTAGCCCAGAAGAATGGAGAAGGACATTTAAGAGTTGAGGTCAGATTAAGGAGATTAGGGGATGTGAGATTTAAGATTTTCTGTCAACTTGGCTGGGTCAGGATTCTCAGTGATTCGGCAGTCAAGACCAAGGAATCCCCATAATGCAATCTACTTGAGGTTGTGGCCTACTTCCAATATTTGAGTATTTGGTTTGCTTGGTTCCACTGTGTAAGAGCTTGCTTGATTTTTACTGGGTTCAGGTCCTGCATCTGGCTCCTCATCCTTTGGTTCTTTGAACTTGAGGTAGCAACATATTATACTGCATGCTAATCCCGGGAGTCATCCACAGCCTGCTATTTTACCATGCATTAATTGCCCAGGCAACAAAAGCTTGCCATCTGACCTACCAATCTTATGTTTATCATGCACTGCAGCTCCAGCCTGACATCTGACCCATGGACTTGGAACTTGCCCATCTTTAACAACTATGTGAGCCATTTCCTTTATATAAATCTGCCTAGGTATACACATATAAGCTTGACTGCTTTTCCATCTCTAGAGAATTCAGTTTAATACAGGAGGTATATACAGAAAGGGGGAGTCATTAAAGAAGGTAGAGTATTCATACTATCACCTCACAGTCTGTCACCAAGGACAGTATCTTTATGCTTTCTTACCAGAATTGCCACTACTAAGATTTATTTGAGTAAGCAAGAAGTGACTTAATAAATTATAAACCAAATTAACTGCTGTGGAGTCGATTTAAATGCATAGTGACCCTATAGGACAGG